CCCTTTACAATCTGGTTAATTGATGCATTGATGATTGACTATTATTGATTATTGGTATTGCATGATAATTTCTTATTGGATTGTTTTAATGTTTTACAATTGCGGCTTGTAAAAGTATAACAATATTAAATTGATGAATCGAGCAGATGTTAATTTGATATTAAAGGCTATTTTCAATAAGAACTTAGATCTAGTAAATTGCGAGAGCCTGTTAGATCTAGTAATAATTTTTTTTTGTGCAGATTTTGAGCTAGAAATGGCTTCATTCACGCTGGAACTGCACTCGTATTCGATCGGGCAGAGCTCGCCCGATCGGGCGCGCGTACGCGTCAGCAAACTTTGTCAACTTCGACAGGCCATAACTTTTGCGTTTCTTATCCAATTTTAGCGTGTGACCTGTCGATGGAAAGCTCTTCAAGTCTAGTTTCCAATTCAATTTGAATCACTGTATTATAATTTATATATCAAAAGTTATGATCATAATAGTTCACCTGACTCAAATTTGAACTTTTTCCCACTAACACTTTGTTTCTTTCTTGCCCAATTTTGTTCCAAAGAGATGCATTGAAATCCTCGAGGCTTCGGTGACATTGATGTGGTGATGATGAAGAGTAGTCACTTTGACTACTAGCTTCCCTTTAAGACAATGAGGACATTGTCTGATTTAGCTTGGGGGGAGGTTCTCGTGTTCGTATGGTACATCTTTCACTCTCTCTCTTCTCTTTTTATTTTTATTTTTCTTAGTATAGATTTTATTGCTTTCTTAGGTTAGTTTTGTTCCAATGAATTGTAAATTATGCTTCCCTGTGCCCCTTACTTGAGAAAATTGTTTTGATTCTTGGTATTTGACGATAAGCATCGTGGATTAGTTGATCATGATTTGATGTTTGATTGCCTGAAACTTTAACATGCGTCAATTTTGTCCAGCTACTTGTGAATATAGTGCTTGACTAGTTAATTTGGTTAGGAATGTGTGATAGTTCCATAATTCCTGGTATGTCAATGAATTTGAGTATTGATTTTCAACTATGAGTAGTGTTTCATGACTTATTATTATGCACATAGGAGGACGAAGGCGTTCATTCTTTTAGGTAGCCTTCAGAGTATTAGATACATTTGTTCCCTTATTGTTACCCATGTTGTTGCCTTGACCTTTTGTTGTTTATCACCCACATTACAAGCCTATTTTGTTCCATTGGTTACTAGTCCCAAGCTTGGCTTGGGGGAGCTATTAGTGAGTGAGGTGAGGGAGTTTGTAGTGTGTTTATTATTTGCACAATTTGGGTGGGATTTAAGAAGTTGTTTTGTTGTTATTCATGTTTATTTTTTGATGAGTTTGAGAGTTATATTGTCTTGAAAAAATAAAGCATGATATTATGAAAAAAAAAGAGAAGTTCAAAGAAAAAAATGTGAAAAAAATAAGTGAACTTCAAAAGAAAAAAAATGTTCTGGTTGGAGGTTGATAAAAGAAAAAAAAAAATTTGAGCCTCAATGAAAAAAATTCAAGTTTGGAAAATAAGTTTGTTTATTCACTCTATTTCTTCATTATCATATATTTATGAGTGATTATTGTAAGTGTTGGGATTGTTTATATTGATTGGAGTTTATTTGGTTAATGTTAGAGTTGGTTATGTAGGAGGTGCATGGTCATTATTTATTTTGATCATGGGTTTTATTAGGATATGGCTCCTTTAAGCATAGCTTTTCTCTCACTTATTCCCAAATTTATCCTACACTTTACCCTAGCCTTACATTACAAGCTTTAAAGACCTTCTTTGTGCATAGAATTGTATGAATGTGAAAGTGTTGTTTATCAATGCAAGTTATGATTTGGCATATTTCGAGTCGACTAGTAGGTTTGAGCGTTCATTGTTTTATATACACGAGAGTGTGAGTTGGGAGGGCATTGTTCACATTAAAGGGGTGGTTGGAAAGCGATCGAGTACATCGTTTACTCGCCACATAAATGAGAGTCGAGTGTGTGAGCACTAGTCTTGAATTCTATATGCTCTTCTGGTTTGCTCTATTTGACAATTGTTAGGGAAGAAAGGTAATTGGATGGATTTGATTGGTTGACTTTGAAGCATGTTTATTTGATTTACCCTGGATCGTTTGTACTTGATTTTTACCTTTAGGGGTGAACCATATTTATTGATTCATTGATGAGATCTTTGCTTAGGGACAAGCAAAGGTTTGGCTTGGGGGAGTTTGATGTGTCTATTTTATATAGTATTTTACCCCCGTCCCTTGGTCATAATTAGTAGTGTTTTTGGCTCTTTAGCGCCACTTTTATTACTAATTGGTGTTTTCTAGTGTTTTCGTAGATTTGGTTGACTTTTGCAAGGATTTATGCTTTTGGAGTATTTTTCCGAGATATTTAGGAGCAATCACGAGCATTGGAGAAGCACGACCAGATTTTATAGCCCAGGGCCGGTTAGAGCCATCGAACCGGTGATTAAGGGCTCGGTATAGGTGATACCGGGGCATTTGGACCGAGTATTCAAGACCCAAAGAGGAAACCCAGATTGGCCCGAAGAATTGGAGCCCAATCGAAGTCCAAATAGTGGCCCAAATGAGCCGCCCGGCCAAAAAGGCTGGCGCCCGGAGGCGCGCCCGGCCGGGCGGGAGAAGCTTAGTCTGGCGCCCGGTGACGCGCCCGGCCGGGCGCGAGATTAGTATTGGAGTCAAAAAGGCGCGCCCGATCGGGCGCGTGTATTTTTAGGAGACGTTTAGTGTCGTTTTAATTTGTTTTAGTTTAGGATTTTTGTACGGAGTATAAATACTCCTCCGTAATACGATTTTAGTACTTTTTTCCTTCTTCTTAGATTTTCTCTCTCTACTTAGTTCTCTCTCTCTTAAACTCTCTCTAAACCTTTGTTCTTATTTCTTTCATTAATTCCAGATTTATTTTGGTAACGATTTCTCTTCCCTTAATCTTAGTTATTCATTTTATTCCTTTCATCATGATTTATTTTATTACCTTGATTAGTTTAGTTTTTAATATGTGTGAGTAGTTTTCTTTCTAGGGTTTATGAGGATCTAATAAATAATATGAAGGGGTAAATTATTGTTGTTGATTATCAATGCTAGATTAATTTCCTATTGATTGATTTAATGCTCTGTGACTAGATTAGGCCTATCTTTTATGCATGAGTTTGACAATATTGATTCAAGAATCGAGAGATGAGAATTAATGTTTAGGTCTAGTTTCAATAGGCAAGTTATTTTATAAATGGTTAAGTCAAGGTTCGAGAGATGAGATTTAATACCGGTAAATTAATTGTGTGATTGTAATACGTAGCGAGAGCCCTTTACAATCTGGTTAATTGATGCATTGATGATTGACTATTATTGATTATTGGTATTGCATGATAATTTCTTATTGGATTGTTTTAATGTTTTACAATTGCGGCTTGTAAAAGTATAGCAATATTAAATTGATGAATCGAGCAGATGTTAATTTGATATTAAAGGCTATTTTCAATAAGAACTTAGATCTAGTAAATTGCGAGAGCCTGTTAGATCTATGTTGATTAATAAATTGCGAGAGCCTGTTAATCATATTATTTATGCCATGTCAATGATTGATTACCCTGTTTTACCCTGGAGTATTATTTATTGGTGAACCTATGCCCTAGATCCTTTTATATATTATTTTCTCCCTATTCCTACTCTTTGTAGTTTAGTTTCTTATTCAACTATAAATATTGGTTACTTAAATAGTTTAGATTATAATAATAAATTAGGAGTAAAAAGACTAGTTTCCCTGTGGAGATCGACCCTACTTCCCTATCTACCTTAGTTAGTGATTTAGGTAATTATTTTTTATTAGGGGATACGACTTTACCCTGTCACCTCTATCCCAGGAATAAAGCAGCACATCTGCAGGTCGCAGAGCCCCATCGTTTCCTCCAATCAACCCAATGTTAACCTCCTTTCGAGCAGAGATTTCATACCGAAAACAAATATCAACATGGGTGTCACGAACAACATTGTGCCGATGTTTAATACCCACCATCCCAGCACAAGACACTGCATGATCCCCATAAATATCCCCGTCAAAAAACCTAGAGCAAGCAGAACACGGTGTTGAAACGGAGAACAAAGGAACACCTAACCGGTAGCAAAGAACACTACGGTAAGTCTTACCATTCATAGTCTGACCCAAACCCGATATCGGGACTGTCCGCAACCAGGCCGAAGAGTGATCCCCCTGCTGGGACTTCCATAAGGCTACCTGACGCGGAGTTAAGGAGAAAGTGGAATCCGCAGATGTAGTGACCTTCGTGAAATATATATCTTCCAACTTTTTCATGAGTTTGGGGGCAATGATTTCACTAGGGTTACTCATAAGGTCGGTCTCCGCAGCGCTGTTAAAAATACTAAGAGCACCATCGAAGGCCGGTCCCGGACCAACAATACCAGAATGGCGAAGAAGCGTAGCCTGAAGACCAGAAGACTGCAGACGCGATGCAAGGAAAGCATAAAGCCGAACATCACCCGCCGAATAGACACCCAAACCACCATAAGAAAAAGGTAAGGTGGCAAGTTGCCATTGCCAATCACCAAAGCCAGGCCCCGAAGTTGTTACAATGCGCTCCAAAGAAGCCCGAAGGGCCAAGTCAAAAGAAACTTGTGTTGTTTCAAAAAGACGAGGAGGACAAGTGCGCATAGCAAAGTAGAGTTTTGAAACTCCAATACACGCACGAAGAAGCAACAACTCGCATTAGGGATCATCGAGCTTAGCAACAACATCCATTAGCACAACGGTCTTATTATTATTATTATTATTATTATTATTATTATTATCGTCGTTGTAATAAGAGTTTAAAAGAATGAAATTTGGCTTTATATCATTAACAATCTCATTACACATGAGCTGAACTGAAGTGAACTGAATTGAACTGAATTGACCTTTAGAATTAGGTGATAAAATGATTTTTTTTTATTTATTTATTTTTATTTATATGTGGTGGTAAAGAATTTTTTTTTTTGGGAGGTGATAAATTCAATTAAGTGGTTATTTAAAGGTGGTAAAAGTCAAAATTACCTTATATTTATATATACTCCATATGAATAACAAACATTATTAAAGTGAACTTAAGATAAATAATGCAAGAGTTTTGGAGACAGATATGAAGCGAACAAGTTACCAGCATATGCGAGTAGAAGTTTCTGGAATAAATCGCTACTACCCCTGACACATCATCCTTGACGTCAGCAGTTTCTTCCTGTTTCAGAACCCAGTCGCTCCTTTCCTCCCAACAATTTCTTAATCATTTCTATAAAAGGTGAAAAATTCAAAATTCTATATAATCCCTTCATTTTTATTTGATTTAATCATATTCTATAATCTTTCAAAATTCAATTATTTTTGATTCCCAGATAACAACGATCAAAAGGGTTTGTTCTTATTTTGTTTACTCCATTGTTTATTTAATTTTGTAATTTGGTTTCAATTTCCTTAATATAAAATTCTAAATTCGAATATTGGAAATTCTTCTCCAATTCTGCAATGCAAGTTTACTTTCTATAATACTTGGCTTTAATTTCCTGTTTTGCATCTGTTCTTATTGTATTGCTTGTTATAAGTAAACTTATTTTTTGGTTGATTTGTTGAATTATATTGAAATTTGAGTGAATTTAATTTTGTTGTGGCAGTAATTTTTGTAAAAGAAAGAGTTTGGTTGATTTGAAAATGCATTCCAAATCGCCGAAAAACGTGGTGGTGGTAGGAGGAGGAATTGCTGGTGCTCTTCTTGCTAAAAATCTTCAAGATCATGCCAATGTCACTTTAATTGATCCGTATGTCATTTGCCTTTTTTTATTTGTGTAAATTTTTGTTAAGTCTAGTGTTTTTGTTTTCATCATTGATAGATAACCCCTTTGTTATGTTTATATGGTACATCTGGTTGTATGATAGTTTTTATCATTAGTGTATGTTAGAGCATTTTCGACGGTTGTAGCTAGGGACTTGCGATTTTTAAAAGTCCCAAGCTATGACCATTGAAGTTGGAATGAAAAAATAACTTAAACATATTAATTTGTTTGACAAAAAGTTGGCAAAAAGATGAATAATGGTGGCCAACCATTTATTGACAAGTTCAAATAACAATCTACTCGGTAGTTAACCCTTAAGATACAAACTGGGTAGAAAGGAGATTAACTTGAAATACTATGTCTCATGACAAGCTAATTTAACGAACAGCTTGCCATTGGAAATACTACAGATTGATTAAGAAATGTGTTAAACATGAAGAAGAGGGGCACACAGTGAAATTTCCTATGTGCACATGCACTCGGGAATAAGGGGCACCCTATTCACATAAAAAAAGCTCACATACTCATTTGTAATATATATTAGGGGGCGCACCTCCTAGTTCGAACGATTATATATCTACAGACTACAGTACTTAATACCACGCTTAAGTAAATTATGATTTATGAAACTCTTATATACAGTGTGGGATATTGTGCATGCTTGTTAGCTTAACTTTGTAAATGTTTTGGTAATATTGAATAGTCCAAGACAACAAAAAATGTGGAAAGTCAATAGAGTTTAGTCTTCTTTCATCCTTAATTTAATATATTATTCTTGTTTTGGATACTACATTTATTTTTCTTCAAATTTGTTTGTATAATAAAAGTAATATTTAATTGCAATGAACTACAGAAAGGAGTATTTTGAGATCATATGGGCTTCCTTGAGATCTATGGTGGATCTGTCATTTGCTGAAAGATCCTTAGTGAACTACAGTGATTTTCTGTCACAAGTGAAGTTAATTACTTCTTATGCTACACATATCACAGAGAGTGAAGTCTTAACTGCACGGGGTGATCGTGTTCCATATGATTACCTTGTAATTGCTACAGGTCACGTATATTCTGATCCTGTTACCAGAGCTGAAGGTCTAAGCAAGTACCAAGAAGGTCAGTTATCTTTATTATAAATTTGAACTAAGCAATCATGCTATAATTTGTATGTCAATAAGAATGTAATCAAAGAAAATAAGTAATATTTACATGCCATTTAAAAAAGGATGTATAAAAAGGATTTTTAATTATCCTGTCCTGTTTCTGACTTTTTGATGTGGATTTTAAGTCCTAACTGCTACTTAAGTGAAGTTTTCCCCAATCCGCAAATATTAATCAATGATTTAGTTATCAAACGAATTAGTCTACTACTAGCTAGATAATCCTTAAAACATTCTTGTTTTGAAAATTAATGGCAGCAAGCTAGGTAACTCACAAAGCATGAAATACGCTTAACAATTTAATCCAATATTCTTAAAATTTCATACAGCCTGATGGTGTATTAATACTATTATAGCCACCTCAGACAACTCTTATTAAGGTTAGGACAAGTCCCTAACTCTTAGAAATAAAGAGTAACCCTTAGAAATTAAGGAAACAAAAAGTTAACAACTTAATCCTATTTGAAATAGGAAAATTAATTTCAAGTGCTTTAAACAGCAAAAAACTATTTTAAGTGGATTAATAAAAACTTGTAAGCAAAATCTAAGTAAGCGATTAAAATACTAGTCCAATCCCTTTGGAGTACCAAGGGTGCCTTTACCTACTCCCCACAGTAAGCCAAGAACCAAAACCACCAAGGAAGGTGGTGTGTGATAGGTTGTCGTACACCTGTCAAAAATAAATTCCTAACAAAACCAACTAACAATGTAGTAGGGTAAGTAGGGTCGAATCCAGAGGGAGATGGTATTCAATCTAACCTATAAGAAATTGGAGAAACTAAACTATGTCACGAAATTGGGATAGGGAAATAGTCTAAATTAAAATAGGAATAAAACAATTGATAACAAGACCTAGGGTTATGGTTCACCATGTTTATAGCTCTAAATCTATCAAATATCAATAAAAATTCAATCAATCAATTATCTAAAGCAATTGCTAAGCCTACGGCCGGGTCTTAACGCTCTCAATTCAACATATGCAGTACGGTCGCTAACATAATTAGAATTGCTAATTGTAGGGAAGCCTCTAAAAGTAAGATCTTTCGATTCAAACTTTATTAACATGAATTAATCAAACAATTGATCAGGTTGCAAGATTATCAATAAAAACACTATCAATTAGAGATATGAATAATCAAAATATTAAAATTATCAATCAAGATTCATAATATAAACATGGATTCCCAAACCCTAGAAATAAAACTACTCTAGCATGAAATAAATAAATAAAACTAGATCTAAGGAATAAAACATAATAAAAAGCAAGAAAATAGAAATAAAATACCTCAATGAATTAAAATAGTAAACCCAAGAATCATCCATGGAAGAATCCATGGAGATGCCATGAGAAACTAGGGTTCAAAAGAGAAAACTAAAAAGAACGTAAAAAAAATAAAAAATATAAAAGGCATAAGGGAAAATATTAATCCCTTGGGATATTTATAAACTTCCTAAATCTAATCTAAAAATAATTAAAGAAAAGAAATAAGAAAATAATATATACATAAGTTGCAATATTATTGGATGATAAAGGATGACGTGGCACAAAGACTAAGTACGATGTGGGACGACGAAGCTACTCGAGGCTTCAAGGGCTGCTCGACCAGACCTGCGGGCGCAGGCCTAGCCGCGGCCTGGCAGTAGCATCAGGTGGCCTCGAGTGGGCGCGGGGCAGAGGCGCAGCCAGCCCTACGGTGTTACACCTCGTCGCTGATTGCATTTCTCAGATTGAAACGGCCATATCTTCTGTTCTAGGAAGCTTCTTTGGGCGTGTGACCTATCATTGGAAAGCTCTTCAAGTCTAGTTTCCAACGCAATTTGAATCGCTTCAATCCGATCTTTAGAACTCAAGTTATAATCAAAGGAGTGATCAAAGGTCAGTTTTGCCACTTTGTAAAATATCGTTTAACTTCGTTTCTAATTCAAATTCAATTCCGAAAAGTGCATAACAACCCTTGTGGATGCTATATTCATTCCTCATGCATATAAATATCAAAATCAACATTCACGAACATGGTATCTACGATTAATAAGCTCGATTCGTCGGCTTCCATCTAAATATCATCCGAATCAACTCCAAACACTTCGAAAGCGTCCAAATGTCTATCAAATCACCTGAAACATTAAGAAAAACACAAACGGAGCGTAATAGAGTACAGAACAAACAACTTATGTATTTACGACCTAAAAAGCGACTAAAAGACCTAAAAAGCAACTATAAACTTAGCATAAACGTGCCTATAAATCCTATATAAATGTGATTCATCAGTGTGTTGGGTTGGTTTGGTGCATGGCCCTACGATAGCCTAGGGTTGTTCATTTGGCCCATCTTTTTCCTTCCAATCTAGCTTTTGATGGCCTAAATTAAATCCCATACGATCCAAGAGCAAGGTAAATAGGATCTCTAATAGAATAAAACTTCATCAACTTTTTGATCACTTGCGATAGACAATAATTGATAGTGTTAATTTGTACAACGAAGGCAACTTCTCAAAAGCACTAGTATGCTTCTCAAGTGCTTTGTGTGTGTGTGTGTGTGTGTGTGTGTGTGTGTGTGCTTGTGTGTGTGTGTGTGTGTATGTGTGTGTGTGCTTGTGTGTGTGTGTGTGTGTGTATGTGTGTGTGTGCTTGTGTGTGTGTGTGTGTGTGTGTGTGCACGCGCACCAATATGCTTCTCAAGTGCTGTTTATGTGTGTTCAGAAAAATTGAAAAAGAGACTGCATCTATAGATTTTAATATTAGTATGAGCCACTTTATTGGGACTCTGCAATCAGACAATCAAATCTGTTCTTATTTCTCTTTGTGTCTGTTCTTGCAGAGTTAAATAAAATAAAGTCTTCAAGTTCGATAATGATCATTGGAGGTGGCCCCAGTGGTGTAGAGCTTGCTGGTGAAATCGTTAATGAGTTTCCTGATAAAAAAATTACTCTGGTACACCGTGGACCTAGATTGCTGCAGTTTATTGGATCTAAGGCATCACAGAAAGCTTTGGAGTGGTTGACCTCAAAGAAAGTTGAAGTGATCCTTGATCAGTCTGTTGATTTGACACCAACTTCAGAAGGTGCATATCAAACTTCTGGTGGAGAGACTATAGTTGCTGATCAGTATTTTAGCTGCACTGGGAGTCAATCAGGGTCTTCATGGCTTAAAGATACAATATTAATGGACAATCTGGATATGAAAGGGAAATTGGTAGTTGACAAGCACTTGAGGGTCGAGGGTCATAGAAGCATCTTTGCTATTGGAGATATTACGAATCTTCCAGTAATTCCTTATTTTGCATATATATTTTCTTTTTAAATGACTAAACATCCATTTTATTATTTTAAAAATTTAAAATCAAGAATTTAAGCTCCTGAGACCTAAAATTGAAACTCATCAATTTTTCAATTTTACACTCACAACTTTAAAGCTGAAACCTGGATACATTATACAATAGAGTGACCACGAGTCTAATCACATGACACTTTGTACAATACAGTTTATACAAGTTCCATAATTTTCAACACTTCTAAGTTCTAACTACAGTTTATTTATTATCAGTTACCAGTGCTCATGATGCATGTGCTTTTTCCACATCCATAATCTTAGATTTAATGGTTGAATCTCTTGAAGCTGTTAATTTTTGTAAAAATTGCTTTCCTCCCGCCAACAGTGAAAGAGTACATGACCAAAGACAATGGCTTAAGGCATATAGAAGTCGCCATGAGTTGTGATCTACATGGATGCTGTTAGAACGAATCCTTCCTTCTTCTTGATCCTTTAACCTAAAACCTGTGACACGGATGAAATTATTATTTTTTATTTATTTATTTTATTTTTTGGTTTTTTCATATTATACTTAGCCCTCACTTCCTTCCATATTTTAGGACATCAATTTACTCATGGTGCTAATTGCTCTATACAATTCTGGGTTCACTATGCACAATATTACACTTTGCCTATATGTCTTCTTAATGTGTAATGACTTACTGATTTGCACAAGCCTATTATTTACTTAGATTCCACAATATGAGATCACTTTTGGAGGGTTAATTACTGGCCAACATTTAAATGCCTTGAAAAAGTTCTTGTGCCTGCCTAAAAATAATGAGAACCATAATATTATCCACTAGCCAAAGAGTTCATTTTCACTTCTTATATTTGAAGTGTTGCAAATTGCCATGTCTGAGTTAGTTTTCATCTTCTGAATTTTTTATTCATGGAGTCAGAAGTGCACTATAATACATGTCGAATCAATCTACAAGTTGGCTGAAATTCCTCTTGAATGTAACTTTTTTGTAACTTGATCAGCTGTTTTGTTTCTCATATCCACTTTTATTTTCCTGCTGTTACTGCTATTTTTTTTTATTTGGTCTGCCATGAGCCTGGTCTTGTTCCATTTATAATGATTCTGGAGGATTATAGCTAGCATTTTTCCAAAGCAAGACATTGGTGGATTCCACCGCCCTCCCTTTAAAGTAGTCATTTCAATAGCTTTATCAGGTCCACTCAATCTGGAGCTGATGCTTTTTGAAGAAAATTCCTCAAAAGTGGAATTGAAAAAGAGCTAAAACTTAAACATCCTTTTATTTCAGTGTACCTCAGATGAATGTATGATCTGAATGTATGCTGTGTAATGCGAACATTAGCATTTTACTTTGTACCTAAAGTGGGGCTCAAGAAATATTTGACATTATATTCCAATAATTTTAGCTTGTCTTTCTCTCTATGGAATCCTACAATTTTCAAAAAGATGTATGTGATTTTCTTGCATGTATCATTAATTTTGGTATGATTATCAGATTGTCATAGGCATATATAAATCTGGTTCTTTCTCTGTCTTTCAGGAACTAAAACAAGGTTATTTGGCAATGAGACATGCTGAGTTAACTGCGAAGAATTTGAGGTTGCTACTTGGAGGAGGGTCTGAGGAGAAAATGACTGTTTACAAGCCTGGTCGTCCAATCGCTTTTGTTTCACTAGGTAAGAAAGATGCTGTAGCAGAAATTAATGGTTTTACCATGAGTGGGTGCTTTCCTGGATTGATAAAATCAGGAGACTTATTTGTTGGGAAAACAAGGAAGACATATGGACTAAACTCTTAATTTGAATTACTTACAATTATGTATTTGCCAATAGCCAATTTTATAGCAAATACTGTGAGCTATTATTTTTCTTATATCAACTTTGGTGATGTATGATTGATATATGTATTTATATATTCTGCAATAAAGTATTGTTTATAACATGCAATATTAAGTAGTATGGGAGTGTTGATTATTTGAGAGGCTGTTAAATACTGTTGTACTGAACTAACATTACTACTGACAAAAGTTGCATGAAAAATCTTTTGTATTTTCTAAAGTCAAATATTGTATACTGTTTCAACAAAACATTTATCTGAGCTTATAAACAGCTTGTCCCAAAAAAAAAAAAAAAAAAAAAAAAAAAAAAAAAAATCGCACTTGAGAATTTAGGCTTACCAATAGGCTGCGTGCTAGAGTAGTGAGTGTGGTCTGTTTGCATCATTCTATTCGCTAACGAATGTAATGTTCATGGAATAATCAAAACACGTCTGCATCATTCAAAACTTCCAAGTTTCCTAATTAAAGTTCAGAGATTCACTTAAGCTTCATGTTGGTAGAACCAGCTAGATTTCAAGTCTTGGCTGAACTAGAACTTCCAGTACTTGGATATGATGCTGATGTATCAGTAATCCTACGATAATGACTGTACAATGGAACCAAACCGTTGTTGAGAGCAGCCTCATGCTGATGTGGATAAAACATCTTGTACTGTAACTGTACATAAGGAAATGGAACTATACTGCAAACAGAAAAACAGTAAAGTGATTAACATGCTCCAACACTAGCCAAAAAACATAAAGGGAGAGAATTACATCAGTAAAGCTCGATAGACTTCAAACTAGAATGTGGTCTACTATATTCTACAAAAGTTTTATGAAATGGACTTTAAGAAAACAGAGAGAAGTGCACTGAAATTCTGATCTCACTGCACATGCACTGTACTTTGAGACTCTCTTCATCCCATAGGGGACTGACCATCACTATTGGCCATGGAGCACAAAATTACTGTAATTAACAATTAATTGTTGGTTTGATGATATAGAGAAACTTTCAATTACAAAAAAATGAAAGTATTGTTTTGTTATCCCACATTGGAATTCGACTGTTAAATATCTATATCTTACATTATTTCTTGTCACAGGAATTGAAGTAACAGAGTTCAGCGGCAAATAGTCCCATGATATGAATCTTAAAGAAGTCTTTTAATAATAACTTTCCTTATCTAATTGTTTCACTAATCTGTTTTAAATTCTCATTTACAATTAAACAACCAAAGCGGCAATTCATCCCCATAACACAAGTCTTATGGGCAAGTTAATCCCATAAACTCATACTTAATACCCTAATTACCTTTGAAAGCCTGTCCCTGAATTCTCCCAGTAAAATTTTGCAATCGCTTTTTATAAATCATGATTTTATTGATTTTGCAAATTACATACTTTTCATTTGTTTCATAGATTGACAACTTGACCATCTTTTACATCTACAGTTGTAAGTAGCCTTCCGTAGAAATGATGCTGGAAAAAAATATTACAAGTAAGTTTCAATAGGCATACTTGTGTATTACATTTTGAATTAACTTCTGAGTTTGTGGACATAAATAACTGGTAATGATTTTCTTTTACAAGGGCTCTTTTGCTTTTATAGAACCTCATTTGTCATACAATATGACTTTATCGTCATTTGGTAAACATTGAATCATTACATAGTTTATTGTACTGTCAAAATAATTCTTGTATTAGAATTTAGAATTCACTGTCTTCAACTATGTTGTGTGCATTGGGCAAGTTGGTGATGGCAAATTGGCAATGCATATTTATGTAATGATACTTTTAAGCATTTTGCATTGGCTTTTCTTAGGTAATTACTCATATTCTTGTCTTTTTCTTGATAGTTATTGTTTGCAATTACAATTATCACTGTCACACAGCTGCTAGGCTTTTAGCTTTCTACCCTTAACCATGGTGAGATTGTCTCTGTTGGGGTTCTTAGAGATGATTTTGATGAGTGTTTAGACTTATGCAGGTCATAGAGTTGGTGGAGACTATGGCTCCTATATAGTCTTACAGAAATAGGGTGTACAAGCTATGCATGCATAATTAAGCTCGATGTTTATCCCGGGCTTCTGTTTGAATGAGGTAACTTTATCTTGGTTTTTCTTTTCATGATCAGACCTGTACAGAATTTACTATATTCTTTTTTCTTGTATAATAACATGCACAAGAACCTGATAATTTTGCATCTCTGAATGGGGAATTGTTTCACAGGTTTGTGACAGCTGATAAAATCCATCCAAAATACATAAAGGATAAACTGACATTGAATTATAACCCAAACAAGAATAATAAAAACCAAATTCAGCCCCAAAAAATTGGAAATAAAAAAAATTGTGAACCTGATTGAGATGTTTGCATGGGGGAGGTGAAGTGGTTGAAATTTAATTAGCGAGTTTATTTCTAATAGAATGATTATTGACAATTGGAGAATAATGTGTATGAACTTAATAATGTTGGCAAAAAATGGAAACATGGATGGGAAGTAGATTGAAATTGAAATGAGTTTTTGGTTTGGATATTAGCAAATTTGAAGATCATTTTCTCATGTTGGAGATATGTGTCACTCTTCAATGAAATCTCAACAAGTTTCAAGAGAGAGTGAGAGAGACAGATGATTATGGATATTGGAGAATTAGCTATGTTGGGTTGAGCATATGAGTTGTTGATCAAAAGATGCATCAGCAATGAAGGTGTAGACTGGGATGATGGATATTTCAAAAGGAATGAGGGAAGCCTAAGATGACTATAAAGAGAGTTAAGAGTGAAAAAAAAAAGGTTTGGTAGAGCATGTAGCACTAGATAAAAACGAATAGTGAAAGAGAATCTTTGTGGATGACCAGGTTTCCAAGAGTGAAAAATTCTTTTGTTCATGTACCCGACCCCAACCTTTTGTGAGTAATAATATGATTTTGTAGTTTTTTTTTTAATTTTTTTAACCTGATTTTTGTTGTTGTTGTTGGAACGTGTGTTAAACAAACATGTAATGCAGGGAGACATTAGAGTTAAAAATTTAAGATATTGCGTTAAATGAACAATGCTTGTGCATTTATGTGTGTAGCATGTGTCCGAAGAATATCATACATGTGTGTGCAAGATGTATATTTCCCTAAATCATCTTACTGCCATTAAAGATAGGTCGGGCAAAATTATCAGGGTAAGAATGTAAGATACAAATTTTAGTTAGTAGTATACCAGTGATCTCATCTTTGTACCCTACTGGCTTGATAAAATTTGTTAAAAAAAATGTCTAAACTTGCATTCTAGAGTTAAGAGTCCTAAAATTTGTTACCCTATAACTGTTCTGCTTTAGATTATTATCAAGGTATGCATGTTTTGATGCCATTTCGTTTGTCGCATAATTTGAGGGGGTGAATTTATGAAAGATGAAGGAGGGGGAGGGGGGGTCTTTTTGAGGTAACCTTGAGGTATTTGGATCGGTACATATGTAACGATTTTTGTTTCTAGTATGAGTTTATATAAACCTCACTTTCCCCTATTTTGTTAGCTGTAAGTGTGTCATTCTACACTAGCTAGCTTGTTCATAGGAAGTATTATGTGATTGCTTACTCTAGGTTGTTCCTTGAAACTTGAAACTTTAAACATGATAGAAAAAGTGAAAAGCTAAATGTCGCCCTCGAATATCTAACTAACGCCCGTAAAATACCACTGAAATTACAAATTTACCCTTTTTATAAAAAAAAATTACCCACTCAATTTACCCCCTCTTCATACTACCAACCACTACCACCTCTTCATACTACCCACCACTACCACCACCACCACCTCCTCCTCCTCCTCTTTTAACCACCAACTCCTTAACTCCGGTTTCACGATCTACACAGCCACGGTAATGACAAGTAAGGACAAAGGGAAGTCGGTCGCCGACGGAGAAAATGTTGTTTTTTTTTATTTTTTGAATTTGCGGCAAATGCCTAGTTTTTTCGCACGTCCTAGGCTCAAACACCTAGTTCGTGTTAACAACCGTGTGGTTGTACGAAAAATCTAGGCGTTTGAGGTGAAACGCCTAGTTTTTTAGAATACCCTAGGCAAAAACTAGGCGTTTAAGCCAAGGGCATTCGAAAATTATAGGTGTTTTCTGGGTTTCGATTTTTTTTTTTAAAAAAAAAAATCGCGACGTACCGATTCCGTAAGCCTTCGGCGAACATCTAAGGTTGTGTTTTTGGTATTTCGTCGTTATTCATAAGATCTAACAAATTTGATTTTACAAAATTTGTTTGATTTTGAAACTCACGGTGGTTAGGGTGGTTGTTCGATGAGCGTTGGTGGTCGTTTTTTTTTTTTTTTTGAACGGGGCGTTGGTGGTCGTTGACCACAAGAGAGAACGGTAAAAAGTTTTATGTTATTGTAAAAGTGTGAAATTGAGGTAAAATTAATTATTTTTATAATTGTTATTATAAGGATAAATACGTAATTTTATTTTATTTTACGGGCGTTAGTTAGATATTTGAGGGTGATATTTAACACCCCTGAAAAAAAGGGACTTGTTTTTTCTAGTGTTCAATTCAATTGCAAGATTGCAACTCAATTTCGATGTTTCTTTAATTTTCTGCATCATATGCTTGAACATTATAAATATTTTCTCCATCTTATACGTCTATTGTTGGTTATGAACAAGAACAACTGCTCTTCGGGTTTGGTGAGATTCGTGGTATGGCAGGCTTGGCAGCTCATAGAAATGTATAACAGCAGGAATTATAACTTCACATGATTATACATAACTGAAGCAACAAGTTCGGAAGCAGAATTTTTCACATAGATCACATAAAATAGAAATCCGGAAGGATAAAAAGCATGGAAAATGATAGTAGCAGTCAAGAACTCTAAGATATCAAGTGATCATTCATGATGCTGACTTGATTAGCATCACCTGTTGGCTGTTGCTAGTCATTGCAGGATCATGTTACTCAAAAACTTTTGCATGCCCCCGGTTTACAATAATTTTATTGTACATCGAACATTTTGCGAAAAGCGACTCTTTTTCCTTACAAAAGTGACTCTTAATTTTTATAATAGTGACCCCTTTTTTTCACAAAAGTGATTTTTTTTTTCACAACCCTTTTTTTTCACAAAAGTGATTTTTTTTCCACAAAG